AGCCCAACAACTCCAGCCCCATTCAAAGGTCTTTGATTCTCTGGATTGCTGCTAAGCCCTAAACATTTTTATCAAAATGCACCATGTATGATTCTAGTATTTGTTAGAAGCTTCATATATTACTTGATGAATTTATGTATATCAGGGTTTCTGAGGATTTCTGAGAACCATTTTCTTTTCTCTTCTTTCTTCTTTCCTTCCTTCCTCCCTCTCATCCTCCTTTTCTCTCTCTCTCCTCTCTCTCTCTCTCTCTCTCTCTCTCTCTCTCTCTCTGTCTCTCTCTCTCTGTCTCTCTTTCTTCCCTTGATCATTCCTGATCATCCAAGATAAGAACTCTTTCAGCTGTATGTGCCGGTGATGTTTTCAGCTCGGGAGTGTGAGAGAAGGGAGAGGCTGTGGTTCTGCATTTGTGTTAGTGCCCTAGGGCTGGTAGAACTTGAAGAGTTATACCAGCTTGAACAGTTTCTCACAGTTCTCCTCTCAGGACATCCAAGCTCACAGTGATGGGGTCAACTACTTCTGAGGGCTATGGAGGGTCTGTTCAGGCCTCTGTTTTTCACTTACAAATGGCCCGTGTCTCTTTGTGTCCTCATGTCATCTTCCTCTATCTATGAGCACCCACATTTCCTCATAAGAGGACACCAGCTGTCTTAGTCACTGTTCTATTGCTGTAAAGAGACACCATGACAAAGGCAACTTTTATTAAAGAAAGCATTTAATTTGGTGTAGTCGGACTTTCTTTGTCCAGCTCCCGAATAATGACATGAAGACTTCTTAAGTATGATATGAAAGTGTGGCCTTAGCTTAGGCTTGCTCTCGACTAGCTCTTAAAACTTAAACTATCTAATTTATATTAATCTATGTTCTGCCCTGTGACTCGTAACCTTCCCTCAGTACTTTACATCCGATTTCCTCCTTCACATCTAGCTGGCGAATCTCCCACTCCAGATTCTTCCCAGAGTTCCTATCTCTGCACAGAAGTCCAACCTATCTTCTCCTGCCTAGCTACTGGTCATTCAGCTCTTTATTAAACCAATCAGAAAGCACCTTAGGTAGGCAAGGAAGGACAAAGATCTTCATGCAGTGTGATCAGACATGCTGCAACAATTGGGGCTGGCTTAAAGTTTCAGAGGTTTAGTCCGTTGTCAACATGGTAGGGAGCATGGTGGTACACAGGCAGACATGGTTCTGGAGAAGTAGCTGAGAGTTTTACATCTTCATCCACAGGCAGCAAGAAGAGAGACCCTGGGCTTGGTGTGGACTTTTGAAACCTTCAAGCCCACCCCAGTGATACAATTCCTCCAACAAGGCCACACCTCCAAATCCTTCTCAAATAGTGCCACTCACATGTGACTAAACATACAAGTATAGGTGCCTATGGGGGTCTTTCTTATTCAAGCCAACACACCAGGCAAACTGGATTAGGACTCACTCTACTGAACTCAGTCAAATCATTTCTGAAATGACTCTACCTCAAAATGTGACCATGTTTTTAAGAGCTGTGGGGGTTAGAACATTACCGCAAGACTTTGGGGTGGGTGGACAATGCAGCTACATCAATTTTGGATCAACAAGCAGCATGAGGTTGCACCAGTCACTGTAACATTTTACCAGAGAGGTAAATCACCCTTAAGGTCCTTTCTGCTCTAAAATGATAAATCCAGGGAGAGAGATGTTAAATAAAATTGCAAAACCGATGAGTTACCAAACTGTGGTTCAGTATCGGAGAGCTTAGGAATTTTCTGCATGCTTTGCTAATATAGACAACTTTAACATGTTTTCTCATTTTCTGTTTCTGCCATTCACTCAAATTAACCTCAACTCCCACTTCCCAAAATCCTCTTGTCTAAATTCTGAAAAACAAATTTCATAGTATATAAAGGGACACTGTTTACCCTAGAGACCATGTTTTCCCCCATCTATTTGAGCTTTCGAGTTAAAATGCACACTTTCAAACTGAGTTGTCTATCTTTCAGATAATTTCATCAACATGCATTTAAATGACTTCAGAAGCATTCTTTTATGCTATTACATTCACATATTAGGGCCACAAAAATATTTACATAATAAGGCAAATTTACCAAAGTATAATACAAAGATAAAGCAGTATTACAGACACTTTAAAAGCAAACTTCTAAATCATGTATGTAAAAAAATATAAATCTTTTCTGGTACCTTCCTAGCATAGCATAGCATAGTCTCTATGGATAACTAGGAGAGTCACTTTTACCACATTGTTAGGTTTCTTTCTTTCTTTCTTTCTTTCTTTCTTTCTTTCTTTCTTTCTTT